GTCTTCCAAAACGGGTATTTACGAAGATCAAAGCTTGGGGAGATGGGGGGATGAGATGAGATTCGTAAAACATGGCTGCTTGAATCTCAAGGTTAGGTGTTGTAAAAAATTTTTGGACCTTAGCTCCACCGTAGCATTCTACTTACTCTAGTATAGCATTAAGTTACCTATTCTGGACATCTCATTTTTAATCGCACCCGACCACCCCTCCACCTCTTTTTCGCTTGATTAGGCCCCATTAAGTTATAAGCTTGCTGGCATAATCCCACCGAGGCTTACTATTAACGATTCGAATCAAACAATGCCACCAGGCCCACCCTCCTCTAAGTGCTTGCCGGACCCTGATTCCCCATCATCCCTGCCTTCATTGTGTCCAAAGAAGCGCCCTGTAGGCAAAGGGCACAACACTCAACCCTTTAAGGCCAATCAATAGATTACCACAGTTAAACTCAGTCTGCTTAGTTTTACTAACCGACATTTCCCTTCTTGCCGCACTCGGTAGCTGTCTTCCCTCCTCTTCACCAAACGATTAGGTCGGCCCGAGGCTTACTATTAACGATTCGAATCAAACAATGCCACCAGGCCCACCCTCCTCTAAGTGCTTGCCGGACCCTGATTCCCCATCATCCCTGCCTTCATTGTGTCCAAAGAAGCGCCCTGTAGGCAAAGGGCACAACACTCAACCCTTTAAGGCCAATCAATAGATTACCACAGTTAAACTCAGTCTGCTTAGTTTTACTAACCGACATTTCCCTTCTTGCCGCACTCGGTAGCTGTCTTCCCTCCTCTTCACCAAACGATTCTCGAGGTCGGCCCCACACCGACCTGGCAAATCTCAGTGCTCGTGTGCATAAGATGGAGAGCGAGTTGATATCCTATCGCATCATGCAGCCACTTGCCTGCCTTCCAGCCCCGGATCCATCTGATCTTGCAAAAGCGTCAGTCTTTATTGACATTCTCGCTTCGGAGATTAGTCGGCGTATGGAATGCCGTAAACAGGCCTTACTGTATAATATTCCCGACCGCACCCCGATAGAACGCACAAAAGCCGCCATCTTGACAGCATGTAACACGCATGACATTCTGTACAGCCCCACGGTTGCAAAAGTCGAAAAGCTCCTTGCGTTGCACAATGTTAATGCAATTCAGGGAAGAAGATGATGCAACGCGCCTCTTAAATTCTCAGTCCATTCTGTCCTCGAACCAGACATTCCATTCCGTAAAGGTCAAAGCTACTCGCACCAGGCTATAAAGACAGTTCACAAGAAACCCACTCTCCAAACTTCTACAACCGACTACTGACAAACATCAAACGAAACCATATTATGTTCAACAATCCGCACTACAAAATGCTCCCGACGTGATTCAGTCGCAGTGAGGATTCACCGACCTTCCAAGGGAGAATGTGGGTATGAAGGCACTGCGTTGGTACACGCTACTTTGCGCTGAAGAGAATTTTTAAATGGTCCAATGAGGAGGAGCGAACCCTACAATTAGATAGCATCAGGACTAGCTGGCTTTGCCATCTAGTTTAGATAGCTTGCAATGGATGCAGAAATAAATACGGTTGGCAAAACATCAGCAAGAACTGTGGGTTAGGTGAGGCTGAGTCCTGCACGGTAAAAATGTAAAACGCCTCAAATGTGCGCATTAGGTCTACGTGAGATGCGGAATATTTTTCAGTGGATCAGAGCCAAATTACCTTGTGGTTCCTACAAACTACTTGAGGATGTCAGTTAATCACGGTTTGTTTTGGATTGAGTGAAGAATGAAAGCGCAGATCTTGGGGCACATTCACCACTAATGCTAGGATAGACTAAACGTTCTAGGCCACCCAAGATCTAGGTCGCTCTCCGTGAAGAATGAGAATCTACGTCCCATTAGGAATTAACTTCCAAGGAGGAATCTGGAATCCCTAGGACAATGGTGGCACTTCCAAGCTGAGAACAAAACACATGAATTAAAGGACTGGAAGGAAAATAATCCATATTAGACTGTATGTTGGGGAGTTAATGGCGGAATCACCGGCCGATAATGTATATGTGATCTCAATATCGTCAGCAAATAAAAAAGGCGATTCAAATGTGATCAAGTTGGTGACAGTATTATGGCATATCAAGAGCGGCAGGAGAGAAGGACGCTACCCCAAATGGCTTGCTGGTTGCTTGAGGTTGTCCTTTGAAAGGATTCCCCATTTTGGTGAACTGAACTCCCCCAGCGAGTTACGGAGTGGACCACTCACGAGGGGCTAGAATTAATTGTGGATCGCACATCCAGGCAACTAGGGGGACCTACCAATATATCTCAAGAATGTCAAGATAGGCGAGAAGCATAGATAGACCTGTGTCGTAAGAGGAAATATGGCTGAAGCAATCTACTTAGCAGGTTTCGTCTAACTAGCGGGCCATAAACCTATATTCCGGAGTCTCAGGTGTTTTCGATGCGAGAAGGTGACCCGTTACTGGAAATCTGTCTCACGATATCCGTGTATGCACCTTTCTATGGCCTCGAGTTCGCTTGCCTCAAATAGTGCGTATAATCAATGGATCTGTAAATCGCCTCATCAGCGTAAACACTAACCCCTAATTAACGATAATTGAACCAGCTTAGGAATCCGAAAATTTGCGGCTAAAATGATGGGACGCTGTTATATGTTTCTCGAAAATATGCACGAGGTTAATGCGATAACACATTTTCATTTCAGATTCATCGTCAAGGAATTTGGTTTACAAAAATCGAACAGGGTGGTCAATCATTACGGCCGTATTGGTGAAACAAATATGTAAAACAATTTGCCGGAGTTGGTGCGGCATAACGTAGCGGCGGCACATATGGTTGCAATGTTGAAGAACCACCTTCGGCCATCGGATTAGAATGCCACACGCTACTGGGAACTCATAGCCTGCGGTGCGCATAGAAGGACAGTTTTGATAAGCGGCCGAGACGAGCGATAAAGCATATGGTTGTGATGAGTTAAGACCGTTGCGGTCCATTGAATTAGCTAATCCATTATTTTGGAGAGTGACTGCAAATACATTCAAATTACCAGGGAAGACAGTGTTATCTAAAAGGTCGTGCATTCATATCAGCAGAGGCCATTCACGGTGATGCATGGTGGTGATCAATTTGGACAGTGCATCGAGTGTGCTCGGACCGAAGTGAACGTCACAATCAACAGTGCAGTGTCAAAATTATTTGAACCTATTTATTCAACAAGCTGCATCGAACAAGTAGAACCAGTTGAAAGTCATTTTAGCGTCCACACAGATGTATTTTGCGTGTGAGAGTGTGCAAAGAATATATAGGACGATCGGGACGCCACTGACCTTCAAACTTCACAACGTCCTAGGTTGTGGTTTTTTGCTGAACTTCAGTCATACGAATCATCGGTGTTTAGTGACCTTGGATAATGCCTCAGTTAAACAAACAGCTATGAACCACTTTTACCTAAACACGCAGACAAAATAGATTAACTCGATTTAGTGCTCGAGTTGTTCCAGCTCGATGTTTAATCCGGAGAAAGGTAGGGTCAACCTTCTTGCCATCCGTCGAACAGTCGTAAAATATTCCTAAACGGCTGTGAATGGTTAAAGAAGGATACTGTCGCAAAGAAATATAAGTACAAGCAGAGCATACGAACCGGTCCCCTAAGTGAATTGGACTGGGATATCTTGAGGCAAAAAGTTGTACTTTCGAAGGACTGCAGTGATGAATGGCTCTCTAGTGCCAAAGCACTGATAACTGGGATTGTTGAAACCACCGGCGAACAGCTATGTAACGCAAAGCCTAGCTTAAGCTCCAAACAGAAAACCGTGGTATATCTGGAAACTATCGCCTGATTAGTTATGATTCCCAACCTCAGAGGCTCGACCAACTGTATTGTGGACGCTGTATCGGTAAGGCAACGAAGACAGCCGGTTGCTGCAACCGCCTGATGTACTGTAGTGGGATGGCTACCCAAAACTCTACACTACCAGAAGTGTGGTAAAAAATAAAAATAGTAACGCTAGCATGGGTACAAAATAGTAGAGGTAAGACGGAACAGACTCATCAAGTATTCTTTTCTAAAATGGTTCGTCGTTGGCCCAGGTCGGCGCATAAACAACAGTCCAATCATGGTTGTCAAGGCGTCTTCTTCTGAACAGTTCCCACTTATGGATTCCGAAGATAACTTGAAATCTTGTGATACCAGAATTAGCACATAAGACTCGCGACAGACCGCTGTAAGCGCGAGCGAAATCAGAACAGAGGGCAGATGAGCGTGACCACGTTTGCATTGCGTGAAATTGAATGAGGGTGCGCTTTTGTAGTTTTTTTGTATTCAAGCATAAAACAGTTGTGCAGTCGACAAATTGTGCAATGTTATACTTGGATCAAAAGAAAGATACAGAAGTACTTTTCTAAGTGACGTTGTTCTAGTAGGGCCTATGTGCGCAATACGAGGGAATCTCGGGCGGATTGACGATAACCTGAAATGACGAAATCTTGTTAACGATTTCTGTACACCTGAACATAGCTGGCATATCATGATACAATAGTTCCCAATTTCTCGGCCACGTATGAGGAGAATCAGAACGCAGGGCTTCCCGCGACTAATGGCGTCGCTCACCAAAACCAAACCATTTAGATCTTTCGACAGTTTACATCCCCCTGGAACCGGGCAGTGCAAGGTATTGCGGTTTTTATTGCTGCGAGACATATAGAAACCTTGATGCCTCCTAAATGTCTTGATCTTCCTTGGTTTAAAAGTCCCATTAGTGCAGGAGTTCTGCACAGATTACGCACAGGTTCTACACCCAGACGCAGACGCGTACTATTTGGGTGCATGTAAGTTTCCACACTTCGAAACCTCCACAGATTCCCGTAATGTTAATTTCGGTTGGCTTCTGGCGATCGCCGTCTTCTACATGCCAGTTGTCTTGGATCCATTTTGCCTATCGTTGCAGGTGCTGGGCTCGCATCTTCCTTCCTTTTTGACCACCATGCGAATCCTATTCTGAATGCTTAACCCGGCGATCCGTTCCTATACACTTTTGACTTGTGACTCAAATGTCCATTGTACCGGTCCACCTGATTTGACTGACCTTGAAAGAGATCAACCGACGGGCGGAACTTACCTTGGCTCGGGTCCTGCGCACGAGGCCGCACTCGCTGTCCCTGCTGTTATGTCTGCAGATATCATTAAGTCGGAAGATGTACCCTACCCTATTCCACGGAGTCAACGAAACAACGATGGACGGATTACTTCTGTGATACTACTTGGCGCTTCGTTTTTTTTATTCTCTGCCCTTTTGATTTTTATGCTCCTGAGATTGCCGTCCTTACCGATGTATGTGTCTCACTTTATTTTAATCCTCCCAGTGATCAGCAAGCTGCCTTGAGGTTTCCAAAGAATGTTGAAGACTTGAAAACCTTGGGATCGACGTTATCGGAGTACCAAGATAGTTATTATTGGGAAATACTGATCTTCATAAGCGTCACATACATTTTGTATCCTTTGGTTATCTTATAAAAGTAATTCGATTGTAGGCCTCTGCTTAGGAGAAGTTTTGGAGTGGATTTAGTTGCAGTCCTCGGCTGGATAGTGCTATGGAAGCAGGACAAATTTGTATTATATTGGACTGCAAGTTTCGGTAGTATAATACCTGCCCTTTACAGTGCACGCTCACGGATTAATACACAGAAACAATGTATTTACCCAAGCTTCCCCGGTTTAGTTTTCTCTTCGTCCACTTGATAGCTAAAAAGTGAAGAAGGGATATAGCACGGCTATATAATGTCTCAGTTCAAAAAGGGATAACACTTAGATTCCATTGACAAGTGTCACATGGATTACGTAATCAGTGCTCTTCTAGCTGCCGCTTTGACTTATTTGTTCAATTTGTTGCTTATCCTTTTAAAGAGGCCTCGGGGCTCAAGTGGTTAGAACGCGGATTTACTGACCGAAGGCCTGTGTTTCGAACCTGACTTCTGCCTCTCGACTTCCCCTGTCTAGGCTTGGGCAACCTGGCAGTACCCCAGCCCTCGTGCTTCCTTCAGGTAGCATGGCAGTTATACGCTGAAAGGTTGTCAGCTGAACGATTTGTTGTATGCATGAACACCCTCCAATACACTTCAATGGGTTTTTGAGGTACACATACCGCCGCACCACAATATATTTCAGGTCCTTTGCGACGGCTCAGACCATGCAGTTATTCGTTGCCACCTTCCCCTTTATTCACACAGTGGGCACTTACCACCCAGTAACTGAAAAGCTCGTTGATCCTTAAAGGGAACAGATATACCCAAATTGTCTTCCTTGACGCATCGCAGCTAACGGGTGCACAAATAAATTCCTGTTGGAACGCAGTTTTCACCGTCGCACGAGACGCGGTGCTTGCATCACACTGCAAGCAGTCCTGCCGAAGCACGGGAGCTCCAATAAAACCTCGGGTTTTTGGTTTCAGAGATGTATTTCGGCTAGTCGCAAACACAGCACTCATTGGCATGCTCTCAGACTCCGAGCAGAATTAACTATCCGTGCTTGCCGAACATTGATGGATCCGAATGGTTGGAGTAGAAAAACTACGAAGTTTCAAAGTTCATTCCAGCCCATACTTCAAAGGTGGATTGAAAACTTCTGCCGTACAGATTTCTCAGGAATGTGAATCTTTCTTGACTAATTAAAACTGGGACCGGCTTCAGTGGAAGAGTTATACAAGACCATTGTCCAGAAAGTTCACGAGGCAGACGCGGCGTTCCTCCCGAAAAAAACAGCACGCAGTCGGGTGGACCGCAAGCTACCCAAAAGGATTGGGCGTCTCCTGTAAAAGAGGTCTCAACGATTTCTAAAAAAAACTGACTGCAGGATACAAGATGAGCTGGCGTTTCGTAAGATGCGGAGCCGCTGTAAACCAGAATTCCACCAATGGGACATACGAAAACAAGCCACCATCTAGACCTTGTCAGGAAAAACAACGTGTGTTGTTCAGATACATGAGGCATCGCCGCAGAAATACGCCAATGCGTTTTCCGTGAGGGGTCAATTAGAATCACTGCATGTAGCGAAAAAAACAACTCGAACCATTCAGTAGACGAAGCACCACAGCACGTAAAACCACACCGCACACGTATGACTCTCTTTTTGAACCAACACTTATGCGCATTCATCAAAATAATCTACACTTTCCTAGCCTCAATCTTCCTCTTCCTCCGTAGTACTGCGAGCCATCCGCATAAAAACGTTCAACCAAGCATTCTATGTAAAAGGCGTTCTGGAGAAACAATCAGCATCAAAAGGTTAATCGGTCCGCCTCCAATACTAAAAAGTCACATCCCGTTTCCATTCTTCATTGTCACTAATAGTGTGTGCTGCCGATGCATGCTGTCAGCAAGAAGTAACAATTCCTTTGCGCTCTACGGTCGATTAGGATCAAGGCGACACAAACTGTCTATTTTTTGTATCATCATACACCCCGATAAACTGCACTTCTGAACCTGAGATATCTGTCATGGTGGTTCGGTCTGCAGGAAGAATGGGAATTGTAGTCCTGGTGGGTGATATGAACGCCCAGGTTGGACGACTAGGGCAGGAAGAAACACAGTTAGGTGGTTGATTTGGAGTAGAGAATGCTCAGTTGTTAGAGCGCGAATCTACTTACCGGAAGGTCCGTGGTTAGAACCTGACCTCTGCCTCTCAACTTCCTCTGTCTAGGCTTGGGCGACTTGGCAATATCCCAACCCTGATCATCATCATCATCACCGACAGTATGACATCAGTGTTCAACACCGATGCTTCACTGCCGTACAACCATGACTTATTTGAAAGCCTTATTGTGAAGAAAAGAATAAAGGTGGTTGGGGGAGGGACCTAGTGCTAGCTTAACACAATCATTCCGAGGTGCCTACACCTCCAGACATTCACTCAGGTAATCTGGACAGAAACTGACAACAAGAACGCCACTGA